ATATATAATATATATATATATATATATATTTATTTATTTATGCATGCATGCATGCATGCATTAATATATATGTGCATGCGTAATTGTATGCATAAGTGAATAAATGCATAAATATGTGCATAATTTCATGCATCATTATGTGCATAATTGTATGGATAAATGCATCAATATATGGATATGTGCATAAGTGCATGCATGCATGCTTATATATATATATTGATAATATGTACGTATTTATGTGTATGTGTATGTATGTGTCTGTTAGGTATTGGTGGAGGATATGCGTGGTTCTTCTGCATTTAGGGAAATAGGTTATGCACAATTACCATTAAGAGGTGTAGTAGGGTACCCATCGTTACAAGTAGAGTTAGGGGCCCCCCGTTGGGTATGTTTACAAGCAAAGATGGAGGGATGGGGCCCCCAATTACGTGATTGGCGTTTTGGTAGTATAGAGGGTGTAGTAATGGTAGCACATACACCGCGTTATAGACAATTAGGAGAAGTATATGATTTAGAGGGTAATAGGGCATATTTAATATTAAAAATAATAGGAATAGATCAGATAGTTACTGCAGATAATAGGAGTAGTGTAGATACATATGTAGAGGTTTCCTTTGATGGTACAGCAAGAAGAACAAGAACTATACGTAACTCCCTAAACCCTAATTGGGAAGAAGAAATCGCTGTTCCTCTTAGATTCTCTTCTCTTAAGGATATTGCATTCAATGATATACAAAAAAAAGGAAAAATATACCTAGATGTATGGGGAACAGGGGATAATTATGTTGACCATCTAGGCGAATGTGCATTATACCTACAAGAAATATTCTTTAATGAAAAAAATCAAAAAAAAACACAAGTCCAAAAAGAAAGAATTATACTGTAAACCCTAAACCCTAAACCCTAAACCCTAAATTCTAATCACTAGACCCGAAACCCTAAAACACGAAACACGGAGCATTCAACATTAAACACAAAACACTGCATGCATGCACGCCTATGTTTATGCAATGCATGCATGGAAGGGAGGATCATATAGAGTTATTATTATGTTTTTTTTTTTGTATTTATTGCAGGGAAACAAACACGAAAGCAAAGTACGAGACAAGAGTATTTAGTGGTACAAAAAGACTTTCTTTTATTCATAAAGATGATAGACCCTCCAATCTTACCTTTGAGGCATGGACATGTCCTGATCTACTTGATGCATCTGATCTAGACAAGTAAATCACGAGGGTTTAGGGTTTAGGGTCTAGGGTTTGGATGTTGGGGTTAAGGGCGTTGGATCTCTTGCGCACAGGGTTTAGATATTCGGCTCTCATAATATTAGGGTTTAGGGTTTAGCGGTTGAAGTTCCAGGGTTTGCAATTCTTTGTCTTGAGGGTTTAGGGTTTAGGGTTTAGGGTTTGCTCCGTTACTTCTTCAGGCTTCCACAGGCCGAGAGGTTCGACACCAAGAACAACATGCCAAGGGCTCTTGCAGACAAATACGACAATCTAAAGGTGCACTCCCATCTCCCTCATTGGGGTTTAGGGTTTAGGGTTTAGGGTTTAGGGTTTAGGGTTTAGGGTTTGTTTCTGAGGGTTTTTTAGCCGATGGCGTGCCTTTAGTGGTTATTTGTTTGTGTTGTATAATATTATTGTCCCTCCTATATGGGTGCATGTTTCTCTAAGGGTTTATTAAGGGTTTAGGGTTTAGGGTTTAGGGTTTGTGTTATAGGGTGTCTTTAATGGCGTAATAGAGGCAAAGAAATTATTAGATGCAGAGGCACCTGTTGGTCCTCCTCGTTTCTTTTCTTTAGAAATGTCTGACCAAAGAAGAGAATCACAATTCTTACCCACACTTGTTGCCCGTATGTCTCCTGCTGCTGCTGCTGCTGATGCTGCTGCTGTTGCTGTTGTTGCTGCTGATGGTAGCGGAGGTGTTTTAGTGGTGTCATTGCTGCTGCACGTTAATGGGTTTCTGCTAAATTGCATTTGCTGCTGCTGAATACGCTGCTGCTGCTACTGGTCTTGCTGCTGCATGCACCAACCCTGAGGTGTATATGTGTACTTTTGTTGCTTTTCTTCTGCGTATATGCAGCAATAAAGCCCCCATTAGGTGTCGACTCCCAGGCAGCAGTATTTCATTATACACGATGTGTCCCCTTTGTAATAAAGAGACAGTCCCTTACCTTCTCTCCTGATTTTACTATGCAACTTAAGGCAGGAGACGCATTAGATCATTGTCTCCTTATGGCCAGTCTCCTTCTTGGTCTACCAGCGCATGCATTTGTTTGTATCGGTAAGATATATACTTACTATGCAGCACCAGCAGCAACAACGACAGCAGCAACAGCAGTAGCAGCAACAATAGCAGAACAGTACCATTAACACCAAAAAATACCAACGTCACCAGCAACAACACTAGCAGCACCAGCACCAGCAGCAGCAGCAACAGCAGCAGCAGAAGGAGCAAGTGTATGTATGCATGTATGTATATGTACGCGTATGTATACCTAGGTACTCTTCATGATAAACATATGCATGCATGGGTAACAACATTTCATTGGGATGAAGAAAAGGAGACAGGAAATGTAAAAATGTGGGAAACAGCAAGTGGTCTTGTTTATGTACTTAAGGGAAGATTTCAAGATCTTGGTGTAGCAGAATCGTAAACCCTAAACCCTAAACCCTAAACCCTAAACCCTAAACACTAAATATTCAACACTAAATACTAAATACTAAATTATAAACACTAAACACTAAATATTTGTCTTGGTATAGGGGTGTGGATAAAGGTGGATATATAAACATATATGCATGCAGGCATTCGTGGGTAGATGCATTGGTCCGTTCCTTTCTGTCTGCTCTTGTCTCTGTCTCCTTTTTTCTCTTTCTCTGTCTACTCGTTGGGTTTTTATTGTCTATTATTTAATTAGCTCCTTCCATGGGCTTGTGACTTGCCGTGATTTAGTGTTTAGTGTTTAGGGTTTGGGGTTACGCTCATCAGCACAATCTACTAGCTGAATTTCAGGTGTACGTACACCTCAATTAACATAAACGGATGTGTGGATATCTCTGCAGAGTTATTAAGGACCCAGAAGGAGGCATCACTGATATCATCTTAAACCAGCGAGTAGGCTTGCGGTTTAGGGTTTAGGGTTTAGGGTTTAGGGTTTAGGCTTAGGAATTTAATGGTGCAGTCTTTGGCTCGTTTCTCGACTAATTTTGTCTCATTTCTTCTCATATATTTATTCATGTATTTATGTACTTATTTATATAATTATTTATGTATTTATTTATATACTTATTATATGAATTTTATTATATATTTATTTATTTATTCTTTTATTACCCTCTTTTTTGTTTAGAGAGATCGTCTCCGTCTAGTACAGCCAGAAGTTGTCACAGACGAGCCGGGGAGTACTGAAAATGGATCCTTGTGAGACCTCACTGACAGCAGCAGCAGCAGCAGTAGTAGCAGGCGCTGCTGCAGCAGCAGCAACATTAGCAGCAAACCACAGGATCAAGAGCAGCAAACCAGAGACAATAGATTGACCTACAGGAGACAAGGGAGAAAACAGCTTAGCAGCTTTAGCAGGGAGACCCAACTGTCTCATTTCTGTATACATCTCCATCTGTTTTTCTGTTTCCTCTATTCGTGCGTCTCACATGTTTTCTGTCTCCTTTCTGGTGTCTCCTTTTCCTGCAGTGTCCGTTCTCAATTTTGGACCCCTAAGGTACAGCAGGAGCCCCCCTTGGGGGGCCCCAAGCTGCCTTATCGGTCAATAGATATAATGTTTAATCACACGAATGTTTGGCTTAATATTCAAGACCCAAACCCTTCAAGAATCTGGTTTGATATCTGGAACTTTGTAAGTTATGAGGGTTTAGGGTTTAGGGTTTAGGGTTTACGATTAGGGTTTAGGTAATTTGTAGGCGTTATACCGGACCTGATGCATGCAATATAGTTCTTTTACTGAATTGCCAATTTGCCTCCTGCTAATCTGTATTTCGTATTGTTCCTGTTTCTACTGTTCCTGTAATCCGTGCCCTTCCTTCTGTCCCTGTTGCTGCAACATTCCCTTCTTCATCTGTCCTTGTTGCTGCTGTTGCTGCTGCTGTTATTGCTGCTGTTGCTGCTGCTATTATTGCTGCTGCAGCGTTACTGGTATCAATTCTGTCCTGGTGCATTTACCCTAACTCCTTGTTTTATTCCTAAAGGTTTAGGTAATAAAGTATCCGAGTGGCAATTCGAAAAAATTTCGAACGAATTATTAGAAAAAATTACGGCCGATATCACTGCATTTCGTGCAAGTCGAAATCTTAATACTAAATGGAATAAAGATGAAGTCTTAGAAGCTTTCTTACAAACGTAAATAGGGTCTACGTCTACGGTTTAGGGTTTATGGGACTTTAAGGGATTCGGGGGTTTAGGGGGGGGG